GATTGTTGTGCCAGGTGGGGGTAGATTGTGGCATTTACAAAAGTTCTTACAATATATCAGATATATCACATTTGAATTCACCATTCACCTTTATCTCCCTTTCCCACATTCCTGGAACAGTTTTAGCAGGTATCTTTTTTCCATTTCCATATATGTGTACACAGTATTTGTGCTATATTCACCCTCCTGGCCTTTTCCCCACCCCCTCCCCTCTCACACTGGTACCAACCTCCCCCCAGGCAGGACCTGTTCTCCCCTTATGTTCTCTGATTTTGTAAAAGAAAAAAAGTGACATTTTTGTTTAAGAAGTATTCTTGTGACATTTCATGTGTATGTGTATTACAACCTGCATTGACTCATCTCTATTTTTCTTCTTTATCCCTGTTTTTAATGAACTTATCTTTCCATTATTGATTTCCTTTTTTGAGTTTCTATTTCAATATAACTGATTTGACTTGTAGTTCTTATTGTTTTTCTCTTTTTGTTGGATTTAATTTTTACTTTACCCTCAGTTTCCTAAGCTAGCAACTTAATTATTGATTCCAGATCCTTGTTTTTGTTTATTATACACATTCCATGCCATCAATTGTCCCCTAAGCACTGTTTTTGCTACCTCCTACAGATTTTCATAAAATGTTATTTCATTTTCATTTAGTTCAAAATTGAAAATTTCTCTCGAGAGTTCTTTTTTTTACCCATGTTTTATCTGTAAGTATGTTGTTTAATCTCCACATATTTGGAGTTTTTCAGCTATCTTTTTGTTATTCCACTCTGGTCTGAAAGCAGACATTGTGTGCTGTCTAATCTTTTAAATCTGTTCAGGTGTGTTTTATGGCTGTGAAGGTGGCCTGTGTTGGTTGTTGTCCATTCGAATTTGGGAAGAATGTGTAATCTGTTGCTGGAAGCAGTGATCTATTGATGCCAATTACATGCGCTGGAACCCATCTGATGTTGAGTTGAGCTGTGTCATTACTGATTACATGGCTCTTGGGTGTAATCATCCACACTTTAGAGAGTGGATTGTTGAAGTCTCCAGTTGTGCTGTGGGTTCATCTTTTTCCTGCAGTTCTAATAATGCTGCTTTCACATAGTTTCAGAATCTGTTGTTAGATGCATACATGTTCAGAATTGTTACATGTTGCAGAGCTGATCACCGCATCATTACCTAATGCCCCTTTTTCTAGTAACTTTCCAGGCACATGCTCTACAACACAGCTAGGTCCCTAGCCCATGACTTCTTTTGATTAGTGATAGCATGATATATTTTCTCCATTAACTTTAAATTAACATTTTATTAGTGTATATTAATTACATTAAATTGTTTCATTGTGATATTTCCGTACATATATGTGGATATAATGTACTTTGTTCACATTCATCGTCTCCATCCATTTACTTTTAATTCACATGTGTTTGTGTTCATTATTTATTTTTTGGTTGTCTTGGGGTTGAACTCAGGACCTCATGCTTGGTAGGCAGGTGCGCTACCACTTGAGCTACTCTGCCAGCCTGTTTTGTGTTGAGTACTTTTAAGATAGGGTCTCGAGAACTATTTGCTTGGGTTGGCCTTGAACCTTGATCCTCCTGATCTCTGCCTCCTGAGTAGCTAGGATTACAGGTGTGAGCCTAGCATGTGTGTTTGTATTTAAATGAACTTCTTGTAGCCATACACAGTTGGAGTTTGTTTTGCCCACCTGTCCTTGCATGCTGTGTATCCATTAGCTTCCTTTGTGCCTTAATCAGAGTTTTTAAAAAAAAATTTGCTTTGTGATAATGCCACATCTGGTTCCAATATATACTCTGTCCTTCAAATTGCTTTTTTTGCTTTTTAATATGGATTGAAATTTTTTCTTCATAATCTAACATGTCATGTCAAATAAAAGGATCTATTAGAAATAAAAGGTTTAGTAATATGGTAAGGTATAGGGGAGGGTAAGCTCTTTTATTCTATTAAGGCTACTATAATAGGATGATACAGAGCAGCTGCAGTGTGCTCTGTCTCATCCACTCCCTGTTGGATACAGAAAGAGTTGCTCTATTTTCAGTTTCTTCAGTTCCATATTTGATTTTGGGATGGAATGATTCTTCACTGTGTTTTTAAGCTTTCTGTTATTATGATAAAATACCTCAGAAAATCAACTTAAAATGAGGAAAGATTTATATTGTCTGTTGACTTTGGAGTTTTCAGTGCATCATCACTTGGCCCCATTGCCTTTGGGCCTGTACAAGGCCCAAAAGTACATCATGGCAGGAGCTCATTGCAGAGGAAGCTGCTTACCTCATAGCCAGGAAGAAAAAAGACAAGAATTGGGTAGGTCTCCATATCCGCTCCAGGGCCCACCTTCCATGACCTCTGAAAGATTCCACCACCTGCCTGTTGCACCATGGGATGAATTCCAGTCTGTCACACCTGGTTTTTTAGGGTATTTCATATCTTAATTAAAGCAGAACTGATAACAGGACAGTACTTGTATTTTCATTTATATGTTTTTGAGGCAAGATTCCTCATTAGCTCTTGCTGGCCTTAACCACCCTGTGTAGCTCAGACTGTCCTTGAACTCTGGATCCTTCAGCCTCCACCTCCTCAGTGCTTGGATTACAGGTATATAGCACCATGCCTGACCCAGGGCTGTATTTTAAAAAGAACCTTCTGGATGCCTATTTGAACTATTGAAAAAATTTGTCTCTGTAGAATTTGAATATGCTTAATTATTTTAGTGGAACAACTTTTTCCTTTTTGCTTCTGAGACAGGGTCCTACTATGTAGCCCAGGCTGGCCTTGAACTCCACATCCTCCTGCCTCAGCCCCCTGAGTCTTTGAATTACAAGCATGCACTACTATGAAAATCTCACAGAGTTCTTAACATTGAGCTTTTTTAATTTTGGGGTCAAACTCTGAATATACTGTCTTGGTCTTTGTTTCTTGTCCTCTTTCAGGAAATAATAGTTTCCTTATATTGTTTTATTATTATTTTCCTTTTTGAAGACAGTCTATTTCGGTCACTGATAACTTTAGGCAGCATTAAAATTCTGTTACTTTCCAAGTTTTTTATGTTCAGCTTACATCTCTCTTCTGAACTCTGGAATCATATCTATAATTGTTAGTTGGCCATCCCGTATTTATTATTTATTTATTAAAAAATAAAATTTTTATTTTATTCATATGTGCATATAATGTTTGGGTCATTTTTTTTTTTTTTTGGTGTTGCTGAGGTTTGAACTCAGGGCCTTGTACTTGTTAGGCAGGTGCTCTACCATTTGAGCTACTCTGCTGGCCATTATTTTGTTTTTATGTTGGTATTTTCTTTCCTTTTTCAGTTTTTTTGTTTTGTTTTTGTTTTCTTATCTCTGTATGTGTGTATGTGTGTGTGTTGTTTTATTTTCAAGATAGGGTCTCATGAACTATTTGTCCAGTCTGGCTTTGAACCAGGGTCCTCCTTATCTCTTCCTCCAGAATAACTAGGATTACAGATGAGACCCAGCAGCATCCAGCCTACTGTTGTATTCTTCTTCCATTTTTCAAATTTCATGTCATGGTACCTGTATCTAAGTAGGGGCAATCATGCAGATTATCTGGAAGTAAAATTTTTTTTGTCTTTGTTCAACAAAATCTTGTGTGTGTGTGTGTGTGTGTGTGTATGGTACTGGGACTTTTCATCTTGAGCCACTCCACCAGCCCTATTTTTGTAAAGGGTTTTCTGAGATAGGGTCTTGCAGAACTATTTGCCTAGGCTGGCTTTGAACCACGATCCTCCTAATCTCTGCCTCCTGAGTAGCTAGGATTACAGGCATGAGCCACCAGCACCCGGCTTTGTTCAGCAAAATCTCAATTCAATTCTGTGCCCTTCTTTTTCTTCTTGAAGAGAAAAGACTGTTCTGCAGCCTTACTTCTCTGTGATCTGATGCCTCACTCTGGTTTCTCACTCTTTAATTCTCCCTTAAGCCTTTCCAGTTCTCCTCCCAGGGATGAAATGTAGGTCTGCTCAGTTTGCTCACCAGTTCTCACCTGACCTCTTGTTTTACACATGCTTTTTGGGAAATAGCAGAGATGCCTGGAGTGAACACCAGCAATCTTTTGGAGGTAGGAAGGAAATTTGATGCCTTTGTGTATACTTCTAGTTTATAAGACATTAGAAAACAGCAAGCACATAAAATTTCTTATTGAAGATTGTTTATATATATAATTTGTATAATCAGTGCTTCACTATTCTGTTTATCTCCTATCATGGTCCAGTTTCATTCATATCAACATGGTTCCATGAATGTGGTGAGTGTTTTTTGTGTGGTTGCAAGTGGACTTCTGTTGCCTCATAGCTATGAGAACTCATTTTTAGCTAATGGAAGGAGTAAACATCCTAGGCTTCTTAGTGAAGTGCACACTCATCATGCAATAGAAGTATATGTTCTCCTTCTTTGTTTCATTTATATTGAAGCTGTAGATTAATTCATCTAACAGATTGTGGAGTTTTGTTTATATTTAATGGCTTCTTCATATCAGAACATAAGCTCCTTGATGGAACAAAATTTTATTCATAATTTTTTTTTAAGTAGAGTCTACTTGCTTTGTAGCCCAGATAGACCTTGAACTCATAGTACTCCCATCTCATCCTCTTTGTGCTGGTATTATAGCCATGTATCTTCTTGACCTACACCTTGAGCCACTTCACCGGCCCTTTCATAATGTGTGTGTGTGTGTGTGTTTTTCCCAATAGGGTCTTGTGCACTATTTGCCTGGGCATGGCTTGAACCACAATAATTCTCCTGATCTCTGCCTCCTGAGTTGCTAGGATTATGGGAGTGAGACACCGGCACTCAGTTGACAAAAATGTTTTTAGATGTATAAGGTAAACATTGCTATAGTACTTTTGGTACTTAATAAATTATTACAAAAAGTACATTTCTGTGACTTTCCTTTACCCTATAGAATACAAAATAAACTGCATTTTTTTACAAAATACATATAAGAATCTCCTTCCCCCCCCATACCCACCCCCACATAGAGAAGCCAGAACTTCCATATTCCAAGGACTGGTGATTTGAGAAGAAATATGGCATTCCAGGAGTGGATATCATTTGAGGATGTGGTTGTGGACTTTACCTGGGAGGAGTGGCAAGACCTGGATGGTGCTCAGAGGACCCTGTACAGGGAGGTGATGCTGGAGACCTATAGCAACCTGGTGTCCTTGGGTAAGTGAAACTGCCCTGTAGCCCTGAGGAGCAAGCACTGTCTTCTTAGTAAATATATGAAAACTATTTAGGTGCACAGATCCAGCCCATGAATAACTCAGCTGTTCATCCCACTCTCATGAAAGTTCACATGTGCCCCTTCATTGCAGTTCTACAGCTGGATTTTTGTCTTGCTTCAAAGAATCTGACTTGCAACAGAGGGGATGAACCAATATATATATTCAAATGTCAAAATGAAACTCACTGTATAACCATCATAAACAGACAAAACTGTCTTTTTTTTATAAATGAAGGACACCAATGTAAAACAAATCCAGGGGTTGGTATGGCATAAAGAGAGGGTGAAAGAGGGTGAATATGGTGGAAGTATTACGTATTCACATATAAAAATGGAACAATGAGACCTATAGAGTCTGCTCTAAGAATGAAGGGAGGGAGGATAGTGGGGGGTGAATCTAACTAAGATATATTATAAGCATGTTGTAAATGTCACAATGTGCCCCAGTACAACTGTAACATGCTAATACATCAATAAAAGAAAAATGATAAATTAAATGGAATATTAAATATAGCTCCTCAGTCATATTAGTCTTATTTCAAGTGTTTGATTAACCATTGTGGTTAGTGGTCCCTTGGTATTACAGGTACAGAACATGCCCATCATTGTAGAAAGGGATAGTGGGGGATAAAAATCTTGACTTAATCATTTGATAAAATACTGTGTTGTTTTGCATGAACAGGGCAATGTGTCACCAAACCTGAACTGATCTTCAAACTGGAGCAAGAATCAGAAATGTGGATGGGAAAAGAACCCCCAAACCAGAGCCCACCAGGTCAGCCAGTAATACTGGGTAGGGAGGTCATACAGTGGTGCCCAGCAGATGTTGGCTGTGTTGTGCTGATTCACCAGGTTATCTTCCACATTGTATGCCTGAGGACAGTGGGCTAGCAACATCAAACCTATGCATTGCAATCTCCAAGGAGGGCCCTCACACAATATTGTTACCTCTATCCCAAATCTAAACCCTATTCTTCTTAGATTTTTTTTTTTTTTTTTTGCTACTATGTACTTTCTCAGTTGCCTCACCACCCATTTTCATGGATTTTTTTTTTTTTCTTGGCACTGGCATTTGAATTCCAGGGTTTTGCAAAGCATGTGCTATACCACTTGAGCCACACCTCTAGTCCATTTTGCTGTAGTTATTTTGGAGGTGGAGGTCCTGTGAACTCTTTGCCTGGGGCTACCTTCAAAACAGTATCTTCCCAATCTCATCTCCCACTTAGCTAGAACTACAGTGTGAGCCTCTGGCTCGTGGTTTAAAAATTCTTTTGAGACAGACTCCTGATTGTAACCTGGATGGTCTTGTAGTCTCGATCTTCCTGCTTCTGCCTCCTTAGTGATGGTGTCTGCCAGAATGTCTGTCTTATCATGGACTTGTATTGCCTGACATTTATTCATAAATGGTTTATGCTATAGCACATGCTAGTGGAGCTGATTTTGAAGCACCAGCAATTTTATACTTGTATTGATGACAGAAGTTATCAAAATAATGTCTCTTTCATCAAGGTTACAGTGTGCTGAGAGAAAAGTGAGAAAGTAATATATTTTAAGTGGTCAAATAAGAGCCATGAGGAATAGTTAATGAAATTGATAAAAAGAAATATGAGATATGGTCAGTTAGGAAGGATAGTCAGAGAAGACAGTCTTAGCTGGAATTTGTTTAAATTTGCTATACTGAGAATTGAACCCAGGTCCTCCAGAGTGCTATTCAAGTACTGTATTCCACTGGGCTACATTTGTAGTGGGATTGTTTTACCATGACATAGTTTGAGGTTCAGTTCCTGTTTTCAAAATTTTACACATAATTGGTGAATGTGAAGATCTACGTTTGAGAGTCTACATCACTCTTGGATGCACAAATTTGAAAACTGGTAGCTTGAAGCTGGTATTTAAAATTACAGAGCAAGACACTTAGGGAGTTGATGAGAAAACAAGGAAAGCACAGACTTAGCCTTGTGAACCATGGTGTCAGACACCATGAAAAGGAGGTATCCAGCATATGGTTCTGCATTTGGGGAAGAACCAGGATATTCCTGGACCCAAGACTGAGTGAACCAAGGGTTTCACATTCAAAAGCTCAGATTTCTGTTTGGGAGTGGAGTTTGAACTTAGTATTTCTGTTTTCTCTTAACGGATATCACTATAAACAAGAAAGAGAAAGAGATATGTTTAGAAAACTACATTCTATGAAAGTAGGAGAAAGCTGTTAGTCCGGTGCACAAGATTACATCATTTGAGAGAAGTTGATTATCAAGCATGGGTGCATGTACTAGGAACTGGGGAGAGAATGCTGGGGCTGTTGATCTTTGATGGAGCCAGAAAAGCACTTTATAGAGATGGTGGGCTAAAAAGGTAGGTGTCCATTGTGGTACAATGAAGAAAAAACTTAAGTTTCTGAGAAGCAGAGTGAGTGAGGTTGAACTTTGTAGAAGGCTGTTTTCATTTAGAATGAGAAAGAAGACATTTTATATTTGAAAAAATCCCTAGAGATTTTAAGTGCAAAAAATTCCCAGATGTCTATAGTTATTTCCCAGGTAAGAATGAAAACTAAACAAGCATAGATGCAAAATGCTTTCCCAAAGCCATGTTACTGTTTAGGTGGCAGTGAGTTGGACCTTACTTGTATTCTGTAAGAAGGCTCTTGCAGCCTTCAATGTAAAATAGTGAGAAGAACAGCAGCAGGAGACCCCAGCATTGTTAAAATGATAGAGGAAAAGAATGGGCTAAAGAAATGGGAGGGAAGAAGCACTCCGTGGAAACCATGACTAGGCTGCAGGTGAATATTTTAATGAAATACTTCCTCATGGAATAAAAATTAAGCAAGAAAAAACAGTTCAACGTTATAAAATCTGTCAGTGTCATTTATTTCATTAAGTCAGTAGGAAGAAAACTACTTGCACACCAATACCTGTTGTGATTTTTTATGAACTCTTATGCCTGTAGAAGAAGAACTCCCTTACATACACATGCACTTTCAATAGAAATCTTTAGATGTGTTTCATATATATGATTATATTTTCTTTTTTCTCATTTTAGATGTGCAGAAAGTGGATGTAATAATTGAGACCCATGAGGAAAGTCGACATGGACATTTGAGGCAAGCTGTAATTAGAAAGAACACACCAACTAAGGAGAGAGTTATATTAGGACATACCTTTCATTTGAGTTCCAACCATATTTCAAATTTGATTGTAAAGAATACATGCTCTTTAGAAGTGAAGCCCAAGGGGTTGAATGTATGTCAGGACATGCATCTTCCTAGTAGGCCTGAGGGGGTGTATGCTGGAGAGAAACACTATCAGTTTAATCAGTATGGAAAATACTTTGTGCAGAAGTCACACCTCACCAAGTGTGAGATAATTCACATAGGGGAACACCGCTATCAGTGTAATCAATGTGGAAAAATGTTTGGCCAGAAGTCACATCTTACTTACCATGAGATGACTCATACTGGGAAGAAGCCCTATCAGTGTAATAAATGTGGAAGAACCTTTGGCTGGAAGTCACACCTCACCCAGCATGAGAGAATTCACACTGGGGAGAAGCCATATCAGTGTAATCAGTGTGGAAAAACCTTTGGCCAGAAGTCACACCTTACTGACCATGAGATAATGCATAGTGGTGAGAAGCCCTATCAGTGTATTCAGTGTGGAAAAACCTTTGGCTTGAAATCACAACTCACAAGCATGAGATAATCCACACTGGGGAGAAGCCCTATCAGTGTAATCAATGTGGAAAATCCTTTGGCTTAAAGTCATACCTCACCATGCATGGGAGAATTCACACTGGGGAGAAGCCCTATAAATGTATTCAGTGTGGAAAATCCTTTGGCTGGAAATCACAACTCACTAATCATGATAGAATTCACACTGGCAATAAGCCCTATCTGTGTAATCAGTGTGGAAAAACCTTTGGTTTGAAGTCACAACTCACAAAGCATGAGAGAATTCACTCTGGGGAGAAGCCCTATCAGTGTAGTAAGTGTGAAAAATCCTTTCGTCAGAAGTCAAGCCTCACTATACATGAGATAATTCACACTGGGGAAAAGCCCTATCTGTGTAATCAGTGTGGAAAAACCTTTGGCCAGAAATCACACCTCACTGAGCATGAGAGAATTCATACTGGAGAAAAACCCTATCAGTGTAATCAGTGTGGAAAAACCTTTGGTTGTAAGGCACAACTCACCAAGCATGAGAGAATTCACACTGGAGAGAAGCTCTATCAGTGTAATCAATGTGGGAAATCCTTTGTCTTGAAGTCATACCTCACCCAGCATGAAAAAACTCACACTGGGGAGAAGCCCTATAAGTGTAATCAGTGTGGAAAAACCTTTGGCTTGAAGGCATGCCTCACTATGCATGAGATAACTCACACTGGGGAGAAGTCCTATCAGTGTAGTCAGTGTGGTAAAACCTTTGGCCGGAAGTCACACCTCACTGTTCATGAAATAATTCACACTGGGGAGAAGCCCTATCAGTGTAGTCATTGTGGAAAATCCTTTAGCCAGAAGTCAGGACTCACTATACATGAGATGAGTCACACTGGGAAAAAGCGCTATCAATGTAATCAGTGTGGAAAAACCTTTGGCCAGAAGTCACACCTTTCTGACCATGAGATAATGCACACTGGGGAGAAGCGCTATCAGTGTAATGAATGTGGGAAAACTTTTAGCCGAAAGTCACTCCTCACTATACATGAGACAATTCACACTGGGGCGAAGCCCTATCAGTGTAATCGATGTGGAAAAAGCTTTGGGCAGAAGTCACAACTCATTAAGCATGAGACAATTCATACTGGGGAGAAGCCCTATCAGTGTAACCAATGTGGGAAAACCTTTGCCTGGAAGTCATACCTCACTGAGCATGCTAGAATTCACACTGGCAAGAAGCCTTATCAATGTAATCAATGTGGAAAAACCTTTGGCCGGAAGTCACACCTCAACAGGCATCAGACTACTCACAAGAGAGGAGTCTTTTGAAGGTAGAAATGCTTCCTCAGAAATAAAACCTCAGGAAACATCAGAGAATGCATGCTGTGGGAAAATATGGCAGAGACTAGGAATATGTCCTCCAAGACAGATTTTCTCAGATACAGCAAGCTTTTCTCTGCCTCTTCCTGTGGCCAGCATTTCACAGATCTCTGTGGAGATACAGACACAAGTGATGAACTTTCCTTCCAGGCCTGGAATGTAACAATGACCTTGCAGTCCTCCCAGACTTGGGTTGGAGTCCTAGGTGTCTTAAGTCACTGTGATTTAAGATAGAAATAAAGAGAACAGAGAACTTTCCACCACTGGCCCTGTGCCCTCCATTTGTTACATGTGATTAATAAATGCCTACTCTATTGAGCCATTTTTTGCATAGCCTGTGCATTTCACCACCACAGCCAGTTACTCACTTTATGAATGTGGGATGTGTTCCTGAGAGACTAGCCCAGTTCATGTTTATCAGAAAATTCATACAGAAGAGAAACCTCTGTTGTCAGCTTTCATCTCCAAGTAAGATTTTGGGAGAATCAAAGAAATGTAGGGGCCTGGGAACCGTGGTTCTTGCCTGTAATCCCAGCTATTTGGGAGGTGGAGGTTGGAGATGTGTGGTTTGAGGCCATACTGGGCAAAGAGTTAGCAAGACCCAATCTCAATTAATAAGCCATGTGTCACCACAGCTGTACACAGCAGTAACCCTAGCTCTGTGATGCATAGGTAAAGATTGTGGTCCAGGATTTCTACCCTGGGCAAAAACAGAGCCTATGTGAAAAATAAGTAAAAAACAAAGGCTTGAGATATGACTCAAGTGTAAGTGCATGCATAGCAAGCTTGAGGTTCTGAGTTCAAACCCCAGTAGCAGCTCTCCTGCCCCCAAAATGGGGAAGTGCTGAAACAAGTTTGGAAATGCCTTTATCAGGGAGGACTATCTCACTGAATACTGAAAGTAAAGAAAACCTCTATTTTAAATGTGTTGAAGCTTTCTATAAAACTGTGTTTTGGCTGGAGGTGTGGCTCAAGTTGTAGAGCACCTGCCTAGCAAGTAAATGTGAGAGAGACCCTGAGTTCAAACTCTACTAGCACCAAATTTTTTTGCAGGTATCAGAGAATTTGTAATGAAGTGAAAAGTATCAATATTGTGTAATGTGTATATAGATTTTCAAATAGAAATGTTAGATGTAGACTCAAAAATATAAAACATTTGATTATGAATCAGTAATGAGATACTGCCAGCCAAGGTACATTTGACTGTTTGGAGACCTTTTTTTTTGGTCACAGTTGGAGGTTGGAAGGTGTTGCTGACATCTAGACCCCAGAATTTAGAGGCGGGGACACAGCCCAGAACACAGAGCAGTCCCTCAAGTATATTAGGTTATGCTTACAAGTATTTTATGGTAGGAGTTTTCCTTAATGGAGCCCAGAACAAAATACATATTTAGCATAATATTGTGATTTAGGTTATTGTACACTCCATTTTTCTCTCAAGACTATTTTATGAAAACAGGTTTATTTTCATGTTAGTCACTTTCCAGTTGTTATAACAAAATGACTGAAAAAGCAACTTAAGTGAGGAATGATTTGGCTCACTGTGTCAGTCCTTAGCTCTGTTGCTTCTGGCCCTATGGTGAGGCATAGCATCATGGCAGGGAACATATGGTGGACCATAGCAGCTCATGGGTGGACAGAACCCTCATCCTCACAGATACACTTACATGGGTTCTTCAGTAATTTGGGTGCTTCTCAATCCAATCAATTGACATGATTAGCCATTTCAATTTTTCTCAGTTTTGGAGGCTGAAAATCCAATATAAGTTTGCCCCTTCATTTCAGCCTCCTGGTTTGTCTGTGTCCCATGCCATATGCATGATATGACTTTGTCATGATCCATTCTTGTGGGAACTAACTATAAAATGAGCATTGATTCCCTTTGGGGCACTGTCTTCCAATGACCCAAGTGCCTCTGGTAGGCCACACCTTTTGAAAGCTCATCATCACACTGAGAACCTAGCTTCCATGCTGCTCAGGAGCCTTTGGGGGTACACAGCATACTAAAACCATGGCAGTCAGGACTTTTCTCATCAAATGTCACTAGCTTTATATCTTGTTAAGTATATTAATTAGAAAGTATTGTATTATATACATTTCAACTAGTGTATCTAGTGTATATAAACATATTGCCATTATTACCTTTTTTAAATCCTTTGAGACAGGTCTGTGGTCCAAGTTGGCTTCAAACCTCCTTCTGTCTCTTTCTCCCAAGCCCTGGGATTATTTCACTGCACATGGCTCCAAATTTTTAACAATATAATTTTCCCCCTAAATTCTGCAGCTAATAATTGTGCTAGCTAGTGGGTTAAAAAAAAAAAAACCACAACATTATTTTCATAGAATCGAACAAGTCAAGCACATAATTGTTAAAAGCTTAAGCTGAATCAGTTTACACAGCTGTGATTAGCAGCAGTGGTTTCATTCTATTCAGTAAACAGCAATGTCTAGAAGTGAATTTTCCCCTTTGTTCTTCCCCACCCTCCATTGGGTACCAGAGAATTGTGCATGTGTGTGCTGAGTGCTGTGCATCTGAGCAGTTTCTGGATTTTCAGTGATGGGGTTGGGGCACAAGCCCACTAACAGAGGTCACACACTAAATCCTGGCTCTACCACCTAGCCTATGACTTCTCTCCTTCCCCCTCTAGGCTTCTTTTCCTTCATGTTGAAAACAGACGTAATAACAGAATACACATCAAAGAGTCAGTGTGAGGAGTAAACATTCTTCCAGTGTTTCGGGGAGCTTGATAAATAGCATAGGGTCTGTAGCTATCATCACATATCACATTACTATATTAAAGTGGTAGAAGCCTCTAACAGATTTGTTGGACTTCACAAATGCCATCTTCACTTTTTTGACCATGTCTTTTGTTTTTGTTGCAGTACTGGAATTTGAACTCATGGCCTCATGTTTGCTAGGTAGATGGTCTGCCATGTGAGCCATTCCCCAGCTCTTTGTTTGGTTTAGTTATTTTTTAGCTAGGGTCGCACCTTCTTGCCCAGGGCTGGAATCCCACTACAGTCCTCTTACCTGCAACCTATCATGTAGCTGCGATCACAGGTGCCTCCACCACATCAGTCTTATTAATTGAGATGGAGTTTCCTCTTTCCCTGGACTGGCCTCAAATCTCAATCCTTCTGATCTCTGCCTTCTAAATAGCTGAGATTACAGGTATGAACCACCTCGACTGTCCTGACATAGTCTTGATTTGTCTTGTTACCCACTTCTACACAGTCATCCAGGAACTTATTTGGGTTTCTCTTTATGATTAACTTGAGTAATATTTGCTTTTGGAGTTCTTTTGTGCTCAGAACATATTCCAGCTCTGTTCAGGGATATAATAGGATTTGGGAGCATGTCTGGGAATGTTCTCACAAAGGAAAACTGTAGCTATGGCATAAATAGTTCTCCTGTTGGAAGACATTGCTATTTGTTAATATTCTTCTGGTTGCATATTGTGACCTCAGATGTTGGGCCTGAGAGCAGCTGGGGAGAGGGCCGTACAGCCAATGTGAGTGGTGATTTGAAGGCAACTGAATTATCCAATCCTGCAGTTGCTGTGTTTTGGGATATATAAATGGGTATTGGGTTTTTCCTGTTGCATAAGAAACAGTCAGCAACTTAGCTGAAAATGACATGAAATTTCTATCTTTATCTGTGACTCAAGAGACTGAAGATGACTTGGGCAGGTCCTCTGCTGCAGATCTCAGAAGTGTGCAATTAAGATGTCAGTTGGGCTGCATTCCACCTGGAGACTAACCCAGGAGCACTACTTCCAACCCCATTTAGGTTTTGGCATAAATCATTTCCTCAAGGATGAGGACATAGTCCAAGGGCCTGATTTCTTACTGGTTATGACTGGAGGCTGCCCACAGATTTTTCTCTGTAGGCAGAGCCCATGGACTGCTTTCTCATGACCCATGGGCAGGGTTTCACTCCAATGTGCTAGGATCAGCTTGGACTTCACGTGATCATGCAAGTCACATTTCTGCACTTTTCTCATATTGTTTGTGAGAGCCATAATATCAGGTCCCTTCCACACTCTGGAACAGAGCATTTATTTGAGGGTGTGAATTGTTAAGGTTCACATTAGAGGTGTGGAGAACAGTGAAGTTGTGGTTTTCTGTTTCTCAAAAATTCCTATCAGGTTAATTTTATAACATTTATTCATTTTGGAAATATTGCAGATTGCAGTTCCAGGACAGAAATGCTACTTTTCAGAACATGTTCAAGAATGGCTATTAGTTTACCCAGGATCACTCCAAGCACCTGATAGTTATTACATTGTTTGAAAGAAGTATGTTTGTATACTAATACTTTTTGTTTTTGTTGGTACTGTGATTTAACTCAGGACCTCATTCTTCCCAGGCAGGTGCTCTACTACTTGAGCCATGCCTCCAAACCTAAATGTGTTTGTGTATTGGTATATTTTATATTCAAAGAACATTCTTCTTAGAACATAGATATCAAGTGCTGAACTGTTTGAAGTGAAATTAAAATGTTCAAAAGGAGAGAGAGATAGAGAGAGGAGAGAGAGAGAGAGAGAGAGAGAGAGAGAGATTGAGAGATTTAACAAGCCAGGTACCAGCGGCTTATGCCTCTATTCCAGCTACTTAGGAGGCAGAGATCAGGTGGATCAATGTTCAAAGCCAGCATGGAGAAATAGTTCTTGAGACCTTGTCTTGAAAACAACCCAACACAATAAAAGGGTCTGGTAGAGTGGCTCAAGGTGTAGGCCCTCAGTTCAAACCCCAGTGCCAAAACAAAAAAGTCTAGTAATAGCTCTGTCTGGTGTTGCTTGAGAAGATTTGGTATGAAATGAGTACTTAGCCTTCTTCCAATCTTACTTCCCTATTGTACTTGTTAAGTTCTAAATTACTCCTCACACATTCTGATTTTCTGCTCAGATTGCCATAATAAAATACCACAGTTCTGTGGTCCTGCAAGATTTTATGTGTTGAAATTTAGTCATCAATATGAGCTATTAATATAATAGAAACTTAGCCCAACTATGGTGCTTAAAGGTGGGACCTTAGGAAAGTGAGGTAGGATTAGATAATCATTGAAGTATAGCCTTCACAATTGAATCCTGATCAATTTATAGGGAGGAGAGAGACCAGAAGAGACACATATACACACACTGGCTCCCTGTCTCTTGTCACATGTTGCCCTGCCTTAGATTGACTGCAAGGAGGCCACTACCAATGTCCTCCTGCATATTGCCCCAACAAAACTGAGCCAAAATAAACCTG